CCTAGGCGGGTCTCGAACCCGCGGGCTCAGGCAATCCACTCACCTCAGCCTCCCAAAGGCATGGGATTACAGGCTGAGCCAACGCGGAGCCCCGCAGCATAGTCTTTTATATGCATAGTCTTTTATATGAAGCTGTTCCTGAGTACGTCTCTTCACCTTAGCGAATTTAACCATTTCTTTCTTTGTAACCCACTCAAATGCTTCCTAAGTGGTCCTGCAGATAATGTAGTTTTCCAAGTAAGTACAGAAACAAACAACTACCATCTACAAAGTAACATTTTACGTCAAAATAATTTATATCAAAACACCATAATTTCTAATTAAAAACCAACTGTACTTCACTGTACTCAATGTAACACATCATTTCTCACTCCACTGAAGACCCATGAAAGTCTACTAACAGATTTCACTACTAACACCTAGGAACTTCATTCTGCTCCTTTGCATACAAATCTGCCTCTGTTTACTAGGCGGTAAATTCCTTGGGAGCACGTCTGTAAATTCTTAACCTTTGTATCTGCAGTAAACAGTCCAGTCCCTGGTAAAAACAGGTGCTCAATAAAAGTTTGTTAAAACTTTGTTAAAAGTCTAAGGAAAAGAAAGCAATAGAGAAAGAGGGTAAAGGGCTAAAAAGGGGGCAAAAGAGAGGAAATCAATGGAAAGTAGCCACCAACTTGCAAGTGAAGCTGAAGATGGGCTGGTGATCTCTAAGCCAAAAGGGTTCTTGACTTGTCTCATGTGCTTTTTGAAAACTCTTGTATTGAACTGGGTCTCTTCTGAATTTCTCAGAATGACTGGAACATCCCAACCAAACCTAAAAAAAGGAAGAAAGAAAGAAAAGAAAAATAAAAAACTTGGCATGGTCTTTTATATGAAGCCGTTCCTGAGTATGCCTCTTCACCTTAGTAAATTTAACCATTTCTTTCTTTTCAATCCACTCAAACGGTTCGTAGGTGATCCTGCAGACAATGTTTGCCCCCTTTTTAGCCCTTTACCCTTTTCTCTATTGCTTTCCCTTCCTTAGACTTTTAACAAACTTTTATTGAGCACCTATTTTTTTCCTCAGGGAGTAAACTGTTTACTGCAGATACAAAGGTTAAGAATTTACAGACTTGCTTCCTAGGAACTTATCAGTTAAATTAATAATACAATTTTGACAAACGTCGAAACTTTATGTTGTACGTAAAGCATGGCACGCTTTCTTCTGTTTAACAGTGTCAGAAAAAGAGGCTAAGTAACTGATTGTACCAGATTTTACAGAATTAACCTAGAATTAAGGGATATTAGAGATCCCACACAAGTGCAGTCCAGTTGGCCCTCTGTATCTGTGGGTTCTCCATCCGTGGATTCAACCAACTGCAGATCAAAAATCATCCAGAAAAATACAGCAATAAAAAAAACACAAAAACAGTGCAGTATAACAACTATTTACATAGCAATTACAATTAAATTGTATTAGGTATAAATAATCTAGAGATAATTTAAAGTCTACAGAAGGATGTGTGTAAGTTCTATACAAAGAGCATGCCACTTTATATAAGGAATTTGAGTACTGAGGATTTTGGTATAGGGGAGGGGAGTCATGAAACCAATGCCCTGCAAACACCAAGGAAGGGCTGTATTTTGTTAAGCTGGCTAAATAGACATACTCATAAAAATAAAGAGTTCTACTGTTAATATTGTTTATAACAACAAAGGAGGAGAGTGGTTGTAGATAAATTATACTTAATACAACAGCAAAAACACTGTAGAATTATTAAACTTTTTTAAATGTGAAAAACAAATACATATTCAGTATGTAGACTATTCAATATGATTTATGGGATAACAGAACTTTCAAAACACCAAATATAGCCCTTCATTTACATAATATATTTTCTGCTTTTAAATTTCATGTACAACTGTAAACTCTGACAATGCACATTGAACAGACTTAAAAGGATGAAAGGGATTAAACTCAATTCCTAGTAAAATTAAAAACCAGCTAAGCTTACTCAATTTAAATAAAATATCCTCAATTAATACACATCAATTAAACCAAGGGACTTCAGCTTAAAGTGGCACAGAGAGGATCATACTTTGATGCCCTCCCTTCTCTCCAAACACGTAGTAGTGATAGATAAAAAATAAAAGGAGAAGCCAAAAAGACACTGCTGAAATGGATAAACAACTGTGGTATATTTAAACAAAGGAACAGTAGTACTCAGCACTGAAAAGGAATAACTTATTGCTACATCACGCTGTGCAAAAGAAGCCTAACACAAAAGACTCTGTGCAGCAGAATTCCCTGATGTGACATTCTTGGGCAGGCACAGCTCATCGACTGTAGAAATAAAAAAGAGAACAATGGCTGCTTTAGGGAGTACAGCAGTAGGACTAACTGGGAAAAGGAATAAGAAAATTGTCTGTGATGATGGTAATGTTTTATATCTTGATAGAGGCATGAGTTGTACAGCGGATGTTTTGATAACACTTGGCAAATGGTACACCTAAGATGTGTACCTTTCATCATATGTACATGTTACTTTGAAAAGAAAAAAAATGGCTGGGTGCAGTGGCTCACGCTTCTCAGAGTGTAATCCCAGCGAGGGAGGCGGAGGCAAGAGGGTTGCCTGCACCCAGCGGTGTGAGGCTATCCGGGGCAATCCTCATCTCTACAATAGCATGTAGTTCCAGCTTCTTGGAAGACTGAGGTAGAAGGATTGCCTGAGCCCAGCAGGTCGAGGCTGCAGTGGTCGTGAGAATGCCACTGCACTCTACCCTGGGCGACAAAAAGTTCAACTAAAAAAAAAAAAAAAAAATTGACTGATGAGTGAATAGAAGAATGGATGGACAGATGTATAATAAAGAAATTACAGTAAAATGTTAATGATAGAATTGAGGTGATGGGCAAATGTGTTTTCACTGCATAATTCTTTCCAGTATTCTGTATGTTTAAAAATGTTTACAATAAAATGTTGGGGAAAAAAGACATAGCTGAGTTTAAAGACAAATGTCCTCATGGATCTAAAAAAGGAAAGAAACACAAAGGAATGAGTAAGGCTACACCACGGCTGATGGTTCTGAGCCCAGTGGTAGGCAGTATCAACTGAGCCTTCATGCAGTAAGGAGCCCAGCATAGGTTGCCCACTCTGGACATGGGCCAGAGCCAGGCTCACAACTTGAACCCAGGAGCCAGAGTAAGCCAATGCCAATATGAACTGTTACTACGTGGCCTGGTTCTAGCCTGGGGGTCTTGGAATCTGGTATAGATCATTATAAAATAGCTAAACAGAAAGAGTGAGAAAAAAGGGAGAAAAATAACAAAATAAATCTTCCACTAAAATTCAGATTGCAAGCTAAACTTTCAAAATACATGAATAAATCTAAGACTGAAAGATAGCCAGTAAAATTTTTTTTTTTTTTTTTTTTGAGTTGGAGTTTCACTCT